AATCTGCACATGGAGGTTCACAAAGTGCTGCGCCTGCCACGAAATCTTCACTTCAAGAAACAAGTGAAAACTCTAATCCCAATGGGCGGACGATTCCGAGCATGATCCGAGCATGATCCGAGAATGATCCGAGCATGACCCGAGACCGTCTCGCAACCGTCGTTCCGCAGACCTTGACTTGCCAGCTTCGGAGCCACCGGTTCCATTGAAAAATACAGCATTTCGTGCCTTCGCTATCTCTCCACTATGCATTTTGTATTGCGCCTGCCACGACATCTGCACATGGAGGTGCACAAAGTGCTGTGCCTGCCACGAAATCTGCACATGGAGGTTCACAAAGTGCTGCACCTACCACGACATCTGCACATGGAGGTTCACAAAGTGCTGCACCTGCCACGAAATCTGCACATGGAGGTTCACAAAGTGCTGCACCTGCCACGAAATCTGCACCTGGAGCTGGAGTTGCCTGGAGCTTGAGCTGTTGAAACCAGCGCTGGTGTATGAGCGGTGTATGATGACTGGTGTATGATGAGTGGTGTGTGATCAGTCGTGTATGATGAGTGGTGTATGATGAGTAGTGTATGATGAGTGGTGTATGATGAGTGGTGCATGACGAGTGGTGTATGATGAGTGGTGTATGATGAGTGGTGTATGATGAGTGGTGGTTGAACAGCTGTTGAATGTCCGTAACACGGAAGTTTTGCACACTAAACTTCCTTTGACTAGTAAGGCCCTTGTTCCTAGTAGCGAACTCTATTAGACCTTTCTTGGTTTCTAAGAGCAATGGCCTCCAACTTAGTAGCAAGTTATATTAGACCCACGGTGTTCAAGCGAGAAAAAGGGGGCCATGATGAGCTTCGCCGCGCCTGTCTCAGTCGCCATCCGGAGCCATGCAGGCGGGAGACTCTTCAACCTGTCTTTCTATTTCTTTCCGTTCTTGTTGCGCAAAAGGAAAGATTTAAAACAACATAGTTCTTTTCTTTTTTGGTTGGGGGGGGCGGATGAAATTGGAACTTAGTTTTTTTTGTCTTTCCTGCTTCTTTGCTTTCCTGTTCTTGATTTCCTTTTTCGAAAGGAGCACCTCTTTGAAGTTAGAGCCTCTTGCGGTTGCACAAATCCCCCCAATTCCACGAGGCTTGAGACCTGGACAAACCCAAGTGGGACTCGGTCGTGGGCACGGAACTTACCGGTCCACTTTCTACAAACAAACTCCTAGTAGCTTCTAGCTACCAAAAGGCTTTATTGTTACTAGCGGTGGTGGCCTCCAACTAGTAGCGTCCTCCACCTTGGCTACTCTTTTACTCCCAAAAGGGGCCGGGCAGCTGCGAAGTTTATCTCCCAAGCTTGCCATTCGAAAAACATTCAAGTAAATTGTAGTGATCAACCGCCGTCTCTGCCTACTTGCGCCCTCTGAATGTCAAGCGAGAATGGCTGCATCGACAGGAGGCGGGATCATCACAAAAAGCCTTTGGAACCCTCCAATTGGTTCGATGCTTCTTTAAAGGACTGGACTGGGGCACGTAGCCGCCAGATCGTTTGGAGACCCGCAAAGTCGTTAGGAAGACCACTTCGGGCCCGCCGACCGAAGAAGGGGGTGAGCTTTGGAGCAACATTCAAGCCATCCAAACACGCTCTGAGCTGGAATCGTCCTATACGGTAGGATTGATCAGAAAAACGGTCATACATACTGTCATGCGTCCAATGCGCAATACAAAACAGGTCATGAGCGGAAAACCAAAGGAAAACAGGTCATGAACTCCCATTTCTCACTTGTTTTTGGATAGGACATGCTCTTCTGCGAGTCTACTGTCATGTATGTTTTTAGGAGGGTGTGCCGGGTCGTTGGGATAAGTCAAAAACATGACGTGCAAACTTGTGTTATCCTGACGTGCCAGATTTCGATATCGATGTCGGTTCTCAGAATGGGGAGCTCCACAACGAATGATCTTCTGTCTATTGAGCCAATTTCAAGGCCAACCCAAACAGCTGTCCGTGCGCGTGCAATCGCGCTATTTGTGCGCTTTCTTTTCTCAGCAGGTGGGACGGTTGAGTTGCCATTATGCCTGGGCGCGGCAAAAACCAAGGGCACTGGTGGAACTGACACATTTTAGGTTCCTTTTGCTAGTAGTAACAAGTGCATCGCTAGTAGTAACAAGTGCCTTACTAGTAGTAACAAGAAGCCAGTAGAAACAATAAGCTAATAGCTACTTGCTCCTAGTAGTACGGCCAGGAGCCCTTAGTAGCACTGGTGGAACTGACACATTTTGGTTGGAACTTCATGGATGTCGTTGCCCTTGGTGGGCATAATTGCCGGCGAGGAGGGCACCAGCTCCAAAAAGTGGGTCAGCTGGTAGCTACGCCTTTAGTTGGGTGTCTTAGTGGCAAGCCATACCTTGCAATTTCAGGCACAAAAGAGACATCTCAATCCAACAACCTAGCAGGAGCCCCCTTCCCCCCCCTGACAGCATGTCAAGGGTTCATGTTTGCTTCATGGCGCCATTTGCTCTTCCTCATAGTCTTGCTGGTGTGGATCCCCTGCAAAGGCTCCACTTTCGGGTTGACGCTTGGGAGCCCTGCACCCTGGAGTGACGCTTCTTCGACCAAATCCATACAATTGCACAATCTACTCAGTCCCTGAGCTTTATCTAAGTACATGGAACGGTCCCATACAGCTGTAGGGGAGTTTCTCCATAAGGTTCTCCATCCACGTTGGTTTTGCAATATCTGAGATCAATGGGTCATTCAGGTCTTAGATTCTCAACAATAATTGTGTGAATGAAGATTCTGGCCCTAATGACCCTCACTACAGTGTCTACAGTGGAAACTTGTGAATCTACCAGCTTCAAGGCCCTGTTTGCTTTCAATGGACCCAGTGCGGTTTTCTCCCCTTCCAGCGGAGTCTCTGAAGAGCTTCCTGCCCTGCCAAGGTCATGGCGCCTGGTGACGGATCCCAGCATGCGGTCAAGAGTGGAACACGTCGAAGCAAACCAATAAAGAGTGAAACGCCGTTTGCCAGGTCCTCTTTTTAACGATCTCCTTTCACCGCGCTACCCATTTCCACCACTGGCAACGAACTTCCTACTCCGGGCATTCTGCAAGAAACTTGTGGGCGTCTGAGTCTTTGGTTTGGCAGCGCATGCTTGGTGACAAAGCCAGAAGCACCATGGAGAAAATGAGATGGAAAGACGCACCGCCCAGTAGGGGTTATAAAATTGGTAAGCCTAGTGAGGCTTTAAGGCAAACCTTCTGGATGTTTCAATCAAACACCAAGCAAACATATTCACAAAGAAATCTATCCGTCCGGGTATTCGATTCTGGTCAGGAAGGAACATGAAACACGGCAAGTTTGCCTAAAAATCTAGGAGCCAAATCATAAGGACCTCCTTGATTAAGTAGGCCCAAGTAGGCGCCTACTTATTTCAGTAGGCAGGGGAAAAAGGGAATCAGGAGCAAGGACGCTACTAGGGGCTCCTGGCCGTACTACTAGTAACAAGAAGCTACGAACGTAGCAAAGGGCATTTCTACTGGGACGCTACTAGTAGCTTTTGGTGTTCCTCTTTTTTCGTCGAGCCGTCTTCCCGAACCCCCCAAGACTTTCCGGTCTCTTGCGGCGCCTTGTGCTTCGGCTTCCGGGAGCCTCTCCAAAAAGGGTCCGCCGCTTCCCTTGTTTCGGAAGAAGTGTATGCGAGGGCCTCCAACCTACTTAGTGAATTCCTCCACAGTTTCGGTCCAGCGTGAACAACTTGGATGGCCGCTTCTGGATGCTTCTGGGCACGCCGAATCATGAAACAACCGCCAAAAGCTTGGGAGGCAACTAAGGTCTTTTGGAGCAATCGACGACACTGGTCACCCTCCTCCACACAGTTTGTTGTTCCACCTAGGCAACTCAATATGCCATGGGCATTTTGTTTCCCTGTCGAGTGTGAGTGCATTCCATGCACTTGTGACAACGGTGGGCTACATTCCACGGGTGCTTGAGACCCACTCGCTCGTGGCGCGACCTCAATCCGTCTCCCGTAAGTTCAACATCCGCGATCTTCACGCGGCGGATCCAAGCCGTCGATGCTACCTCAAGATTTGCTCTATGGAACTTGTGACATGGTCCCGCGAGAGGCAAGGCCCCCCAAATTGAAGCAACGTACATGTTTTCGATGGTCTTCTAACCGTCCAATGACCGGTGCCAAACGTGCATGTCACTTGCCTTAGATTGCTATTGTTTTCTGCACAGGTCCCCCGGAGACTGCCATCGGTGGCTTTCCAAGGCCCAGGATGATGGACAGAGTCAATAGTCTGTGGCTTTGATGGCAGTGGCCCGTTGCAAACGACTCCCGTAACCAAACGTCACACTGCCCTGCGCTTGCTCCAGGATCACCCACAAATTCAAAACCACACTCATGCAGCCATACCTCCATGAAACCCACCTAAAATCCACGACCATTCCAAAGATTCCAAAGGTTGAAGAGATTAGATGCGAAATCGTAGGAAGTGAAAAGTGAAAGGGTGAAGTTGAACACCATCAGGTACCTGTCATCCCGCCCTGCCCTTCTGACAAGATCAACTCCCCTTTGGCCTCGGGCGTCCTTGGCCATTTCAGCCAAGCCTGGCCTCAGGGCCATGTTGCTGGGCCAAGGACTTGGGAGTCCGCTCAACGCTCAACCGACCAACGCGTGTGAATGCGATTGCTCTGTGAAGTGGTGCGTCGGAGGGAGGGTCCGCCAGCTGCGATGCCGCCAGAGTCTTCCAGCTGTTTTGGGTGCAAGGGGCCATGGCCTGATCCTTGAATTCTGGGTTGATATACTGATGTGGCTACCGAGGAGTACGTGCAACCGCTAGTGCTTTCCAGGTGGTCCACCAATGTACGGGAGGTGCACCTGGATGGAACTACTGACCTCTGTGGTCGGGTCCTTTCTCCAACACACTGCCATGAGACATTGAGCCGACAATTGTTCCCTTTTGGCCTTTTGTCGTAGTGGAGCGTGGCTGGGCGGCACACTTTCGGGAGCGTGCTGGGCTTGAGAAACGTTGGGCTTAGGCACGTGGGACTTCAAGAAAGGTTGCAAGCTCGCTGGGTTCCCAGCCTCCCGTGCGGAGCGTTGTTGCAATGGTAGATTCACATGGCGCGTGTGGCGTCCTAGTCCGTGCGACTCAATTCGGCTCCATGATCCATGCTGCTTTGGCCATCTATTTTGAAGGGCTAGTGTGGCTAGTGTCGTGATGTCCTTGGCTCAGGATTTCGGCAAGCAAGTGCTTCAAACTGCCAGGTTGTTCACGGAGCTGCGAGCAAGGTTAAAATACAAATTTTATGGCTCCGCGGTAGCCGTCTGAACATAAAATACCGAAACAACCATGTCAAAACACCGTGGAGGTTTCTGCCCTCAGGTTCATCTCAAGCTCACCTACCACTTGTGAGAAGCACCCACCGGACTGATAGGCTTCGCAGATTTCCGCCGAGACCTTTCGACACGAGGTGCGACGACGTCGGACTTGGTGGGAAGATGCGGGGCAATGGCACCCTAGTCGCGTCCGATCGCTCCTAGTAGTAAGGCCAGGAGCCCGTAGTAGCTTCTCGATACTAGTAGCTACTTGCTCCTAGTAGTATGGGCCAGGAGCCCCTAGGAGCTTCTTGTTACTAGTAGCTACTTGCTCCTAGCAGCGATGGCAGGAGCGCCTAGTAGCTTCTTGTTGCTAGTGGCTGCTTGCCCCTAGTAGCGATGCCAGGAGCCCCCAGTAGCTTCTTGCTCCTAGTAGCGATGCCAGGAGCCCCTACTAGCTTGTTGCTCCTAGTAGTAAAGGCCAGGAGCCCCTAGTAGCTTCTTGTTACTAGTAGCAACTTGTTCCTAGTAGCGATGGCAGGAGCTGCTAGTAGCTTCTTGCTCCTAGTACTTGCTCCTAGTAGTAAGGCCAGGAGCCCCTGGTAGCTTCTTGCTCCTAGTAGTAAGGCCAGGAGCCCCTAGTAGCTTATTGTTACTAGTAGATATTACTAGTAGCTACTTGTTCCTAGTAGCGATGTAGTAAGGCCAGGGGCCCCTACTAGCAAGAATCGTAGCTACTTGCTCCTAGTAGCGATGCCAGGAGCCCCTAGTAGCTTCTTGTTTCTAGTAGTGAGGCCAGGAGCCGTCAGTAGCGTCTTGTTACTAGTGGCTACTTGCTCCTAGTAGCGATGCCAGGAGCCCCTAGTAGCTTCTTGCTCCTAGCAGGCCAGGAGCCCCTAGTAGCTTCTTGCTCCTAGTAGTAAGGCCAGGAGCCCCTAGTAGCTTCTTGTTACTAGTAGCTACTTGCTGGTAGTAGCGATGCCAGGAGCCCCTAGTAGCTTCTTGCTCCTAGTAGTAGGGGCAGGAGCCCCTAGGAGCTTCTTGTTACTATTAGCTGCTTGCTCCTAGAACCCATGCAAGGAGCCCCTGGTGGCTTCTTGCTCTTGGTAGTAAGGCCAGGAGCCCCTAGTAGCTTCTTGCTTCTAGCCCCTAGTAGCTTCTTGTTACTAGTAGCTACTTGCTCCTAGTAGCGATGCCAGGAGCGCCTAGTAGCTTCTTGCTCCTAGCAGCGATGCCAGCACCCCCAATAGCTTCTTGTTACTAGTAGCTACTTGCTGCTAGTAGCGATGCCAGAAGCCCTAGTAGCTTCTTGCTCCTAGTAGTAAGGCCAGGAGCCCCTAGTAGCTTCTGGTTACTTGTAGCTACTTGCTCCTAGTAGCGATGCCAGGAGCACCTATAGTAGCTTCTCGCTCCTAGTAGTATGGGCCAGGAGCCCCTAGTAGCTTCTTGTTACTAGTAGCTACTTGCTCCTAGTAGCGATGTCAGGAGCCGCTAGTAGCTTCTTGCTCCTGATAGTGAGGCCAGGAGCCGCTAGTAGCGTCTTGTTACTAGTAGCTAGTTGCTCTTAGTAGCGATGCCAGGAGCCCCTAGTAGCTTCTTGCTCCCAATAGTATAGGCCAGGAGCCCCTAGTAGCTTCTTGCTCCTAGTAGCGATGCCAGGAGCCCATAGTAGCTTCTTGCTCCTAGTAGTAAGGCCACGAGCCCCTAGTAGTTTCTTGTTACTCGTAATACTTGCTCCTAGTAGCGATGCCAGGAGCCCCTAGTAGCTTCTTGCTCCTAGTAGTGAGGCCAGGAGCCCCTAGATGCCAGGAGCCTCGTAGCTTCTCGCTCCTAGTAGTATAGGGCAGGAGCCCCTACTAGCTTCTTGTTAGTAGTAGCTACTTGCTCCTAGTAGCGATGCCAGGAGCCCATAGTAGCTTCTTGCTGCTAGTAGTATAGGCCAGGAGCCGCTAGTAGCTTCTTGTTACTAGTAGCTACTTGCTCCTAGTAGCGATGCCAGGAGCCCCTAGTAGCTTCTTGCTCCTAGTAGTATAGGCCAGGAGCCCCTAGTAGCTTCTTGTTAATAGCATGCTCCTAGTAGCGATGCCAGGAGCCCCCAGTCGCTTCTTGCTCCTAGTAATAGAGGCCAGGAGCCCCTAGTAGCTTCTTGTTGTAGCTACTTGCTGCAAATAGCGATGCCAGGAGCCCATAGTAGCTTCTTGCTGCTATTAGTATAGGCCAGGAGCCCCTAGTAGCTTCTTGTTACTGGTAGCTACTTGCTCCTAGTAGCGATGCCAGCACCCCTACTAGCTTCTTGCTCCTAGTAGTATAGGCCAGGAGCCCCTAGTAGCTTATTGTTACTAGTAGCGATGGCCTCCACCCTAGTAGCGATGTGTGTCTAAAGGAGCGGAGTTCGGTTGCGATGTTCCGGGTGGAAGGAACATCCGAACGATCAGAAACGCAGACCGGTGACGTGATGTTCCGCGAGGAGCGTTGAGAGAGAGTTGCCAGACTACGTGGGCTGGAGCCATTTCCCGCCCCTTCCCCGGTGACACTTTGTACTACACCATTGGGCTTGCTACTTTGTAAGCTTCAGACCCAGGTAATGACACAAAGTTGACCAACGGATTGACCACGAGAATTTGCAAACCTCGTGGTAAACCCACGCGATGTACGGTTGAAGAACCCGACTGTTCGACGGTGCCGCAGAGGTACGCCAGGATCCCATAAGGTCACCAAACCTCTTTTGGGACAAGTACTGGGACAAGTAGCTTCTTGCTCCTAGTAGTAGGGCCAGGGGCCCCTAGTAGCGTCCTTGCTCCTAGTAGCGATGCCCTTTGCTCCTAGTAACTTCTGTTGGGACAGCCCAAAACGAACGCAGCGTTCCGAACCTGAGTGCCCGGGCGGGATGCTCTGTCGGGCCTAGGGTTTCGATCGTGGAAGTCTGGATTGTTCCATAAAGTCTTCTTGTTACTAGCGTCCTTGCTCCTAGTAGCGGCGCCAGGAGCCCCTAGTAGCTTCTTGCTCCTAGTAGTATAAGCCAGGAGCCCCTAGTAGCTTCTTGTTACTAGTAGCTACTTGCTCCTAGCAGCGATGCCAGGAGCCCCTAGTAGCTTCTTGCTCCTAGTAGTAAGGCCAGGAGCCCCTAGTAGCTTCCTGTTACTAGTAGCTACTTGCTCCTAGTAGCGATGCCAGAAGCCCATAGTAGCTTCTTAAGCCAGGAGTTCTTGTTACAGTAGCTACTTGCTCCTAGTAGTAAGGCCAGGGGCCCCTAGTAGCTTTCTTGTTACTAGTCGCGATGACCTCCAAGGTCTCCAAGCAACAGACTTTGGAGGCTCAACTTTAAATTTTACTCTTGCAATCATCCGCTGGTAACGGCTGGTAACAGCCTGGATTCTGCCAAAGCTGCAGCATAGAGCAATCATGGCACGCACTGCTTTATCGGTGCTTGGTTGTGGCTATTTGCCACTTACTTAAAGGTCTGTCATGTAGCAAGGGGTCACGGACCAGCTCATTGGTTGAACCATTCTGGTGATTGTGTTTGGGCAACGTTCGGCCCAACGAATATGTCCAAAAAGGACGGATGACAAAGGAGTTCATTACTATATTTGAGAGAGGAGGGGGTGAACGAAAGGTAGCAGGCAATCACAAGTAACCCTGGTAGAAGTCCATGACGGCGTGAATGCACAATCCCAACTCCTGATTGTAATACATTTTTGCGAAAGAAAGGAGAACTCAGGTAGCTCAAGCTACCTTTCGTGACTAGTCGCAAGAAGCTGAGCAAAGGGCATCGCTACTAAGGACGCTACTAGGGGCTCCTGGCCGTTCTACTAGGAGAAAGAAGCTACGAACGGAGCAAAGAGCATCGCTACTGGGAGCAAGGACGCTACGAACGGGGCACTCCTGGCCTTACTACCAGTAGAGAAGCTAGTAGGTTGGAGGCCATCGCTTCTAGGTCAATCAGCCGTGTTCTTTTCGTTTCGCCGTCCAGGACCATACCTGAATACATCTGAATACCACCGCATCCTTGGTTTTCCCGGTTCTGGGCGGCCGAAATATCGCCAGACTAGGAGCGCCAAGGCTTGGCACCGAAGATACAAGCCGCGTAGTCGAAAAGCTCTAGCTTCGAATGGTCCGGTGTGCGTCCTAAACACTTCGCATCCCAATCAACTCCTCGCCGTAAACCCAGCTGGACGGCCTCCTGTGGCTCCGCATACACAGGATGGAGATTTTTTCTGTTTTTTCAATTTTTTCCGGATTTTTTTCACATTTTTTCCCCTACTGTTTTTGCTTTTGCTTTTTGCTTTGGCTTCTGCTGGGAGTGCAAGGGCAGGGGACGAAGCGCCAAAGCCAGCGTGATGGAGAGAAAGGGAGGGGAACTTTTTGCTTTGACTTCTGCTGGGAGTGCTTTCCAAGCACTAGGAGCAGCAGAAAGGGACAGAAAGGGAGGGAACAGAAAAGGTATCCCACTCACTATACGGACTTCTTTGCGGTTGTCTTTGGGCTTCACTGGTTTCGGGTTTCTTTGGGCTCGGTTTCTTGTCCCTAGGGGGTGCTTTAGGTGTTCTTCCGGCTTAATTCTTTTTAGAATTGTCAACTTGGAATGGCCACATCCTGCTCCAAATTTTACACTCCAGTGGCTCACCAAAGGGTGAGCCAACTTGGGAGGGCAACATCCTTCTCTAAATTTTACCCCTGCATGGCCCACAAAAGGGTGAGTCAAGTTGAGATGGCAAC